CTGCCACACCCTAGGGAAAAAAAAGGGAACACACCAAAAGTGTGGGGAGACCAAAAAGGGCACATGCAGAGTGGGGGCAAGGAGCCCGCAGCAAGGGGGCCCCGTACGGGGACCCATGAGAACTCTGGCCCTGGCAGCCGCATGAGGAGGCGTACAGGGCCCATGGCAGATATACGGGCCTGGCAGCAGCAAATGGCGAGGCCCGTAATCTGCCAGCGCAGTGTGAGGAGACCTGAAAGTGGCACATGGCAGAGTGTGGCGATGGAGACAGCAGCAAGGAGGTGGTTTGTACAGGGACCCATGAGACACTGCTGGACCTGGCAGCAGCAAAGTGAGTCTCTACACTTTGGGGCCCATGTCAGATTTACGGGCCTGGCCAGCGGAGTAATCTGCCTCCTGCCGCACTAAATGGAATGCCACGCTAGTGTGGGAGACCTGAAAGTGGCACATGACAGCCTGTGGCAAGGGCAAACAGCAGCAAGTTGGGAGCCGTAAGTTTCGTTGTGCCCATAGTCAAGGGATTGTCTACCTCGGTTGGCAGCAGCATGGGTGGCGGTAAGTAGGGCCCATGCCTGATTACGGGCCTGGCAGCAGTCCTGCTCCAGGCCCTACATGCTGCCAGCTGCCCTGCGGCTGGTTAGTAGTTTCACCTGCGTGTGAAGAAAGCTACCTCAAAGTCATCGACTGCAGACTGAGGCAGCCCCCGCTGCTGGTGGAGCTGCCACTGCTCCTGGGAGGCCCCCCTCAGGGACCCTGCTGCATGGCACTCGGAACCTGGCGCACAGGGCCCACAGTGTCTGAGGATGGACGTTGGCAGCATTAAAGGCAGAGACCAACTGCTAATGGTGGTTTTTATAGTACCGTAATTTGGCTCCCTCTCAGCAGGTATGAAAAAAGGCCACCAGCAGTTTGAACGGAGACCTGAAAGGGCCATGGCAAGTGTGGGAGACAGCAGCAAAAGTCATCCCTCTGTCTGATGGTTATTATTCGAGAGACTCTGGCCTGGCAAGCAAGGAGCATGTACTATGGCCCATGGCAGATTAGGGCCAAGGAAGCAGCAATGGGGAACTCCCGTAATCTGCCAGCCATCCTATGACACAACACACCAGCCACGGTGCGGAGTCCTCTGTCTCACTCCTCCTCCTCCTGTGGCTACCAGATGGAGACCTCCACTCCAGTCCACTGAGTGGAAAAACCAGGGGCCCATTTCACTCAATAATTCCTGGCAGCAGACCAATGTCCTCCCTACCTCCTCCTCTTCTGGACAGATTAACGGTGTCCTGCCCCCACAGGGGTCATGTGGCGTTGAGACTGTGCGCCAAAACCAACACCCTGACCAGCCATTGTTAACAGCATTTGTTCCAGGACGAGTGTGCAACAGAGGAATGGACGTCGTAATCCCATAGTCCTGCCGACCTGGCACGAATAGCGGGCCTCCTCAAAGGCAGCCTGACAAGCGGCAGGTGTCACGCAATGAGCTGCCCGTAATGGCTGACATCTAACCTTACACAAAATGGAGTACCTTTATCCGCTTGTAACATCAGGGAATCTGTGATGGGCCTTTCGCTGTTCGTAAGAGGCGGCGATGGAGGACAGCATATGTAGGGTTGAATTCCACCTTGTTGAGAAACGTCACAGCATGAGGAGGCGGTACGGGGGCCCATGGCAGATTACGGGCCTGGCAGCAGCAATGGGAGGCCCGTAATCTGCCAGCACCCTATATAGCATGAGGAGGCGGTACTGGGGCCCATGGCAGATTACGGGCCTGGCAGCAGCAATGGGAGGCCCGTAATCTGCCAGCACCCTATGACAAAAAATGGAACACACCAGCAGTGTGAGGAGACCTGAAAGTGGCACATGGCAGAGTGTGGCGATGGAGACAGCAGCAATGGGAGGCCGTACAGGGACCCATGAGACACTCTGGACCTGGCAGCAGCATGAGGAGGCGGTACTGGGGCCCATGGCAGATTACGGGCCTGGCAGCAGCAATGGGAGGCCCGTAATCTGCCAGCACCCTATGACAAAAAATGGAACACACCAGCAGTGTGAGGAGACCTGAAAGTGGCACATGGCAGAGTGTGGCGATGGAGACACAGCAGCAATGGGAGGCCGTACAGGGACCCATGAGACACTCTGGACCTGGCAGCAGCATGAGGAGGCGGTACAGGGGCCCATGGCAGATTACGGGGCCTGGCAGCAGCAATGGGAGGCCCGTAATCTGCCAGCACCCTATGACAAAAAATGGAACACACACCAGCAGTGTGAGGAGACCTGAAAGTGGCACATGGCAGAGTGTGGCGATGGAGACAGCAGCAATGGGAGGCCGTACAGGGACCCATGAGAGACTCTGGACCTGGCAGCAGCATGAGGAGGCGGTACAGGGGCCCATGGCAGATTACGGGCCTGGCAGCAGCAATGGGAGGCCCGTAATCTGCCAGCACCCTATGACAAAAAATGGAACACACCAGCAGTGTGAGGAGACCTGAAAGTGGCACATGGCAGAGTGTGGCGATGGAGACAGCAGCAATGGGAGGCCGTACAGGGACCCATGAGAGACTCTGGACCTGGCAGCAGCATGAGGAGGCGGTACAGGGGCCCATGGCAGATTACGGGCCTGGCAGCAGCAATGGGAGGCCCGTAATCTGCCAGCACCCTATGACAAAAAATGGAACACACCAGCAGTGTGAGGAGACCTGAAAGTGGCACATGGCAGAGTGTGGCGATGGAGACAGCAGCAATGGGAGGCCGTACAGGGACCCATGAGAGACTCTGGACCTGGCAGCAGCATGAGGAGGCGGTACAGGGGCCCATGGCAGATTACGGGCCTGGCAGCAGCAATGGGAGGCCCGTAATCTGCCAGCACCCTATGACAAAAAAATGGAACACACCAGCAGTGTGAGAGAGAGACCTGAAAGTGGCACATGGCAGAGTGTGGCGATGGAGACAGCAGCAATGGGAGGCCGTACAGGGACCCATGAGAGACTCTGGACCTGGCAGCAGCATGAGGAGGCGGTACAGGGGCCCATGGCAGATTACGGGCCTGGCAGCAGCAATGGGAGGCCCGTAATCTGCCAGCACCCTATGACAAAAAATGGAACACAGCAGCAGTGTGAGGAGACCTGAAAGTGGCACATGGCAGAGTGTGGCGATGGAGACAGCAGCAATGGGAGGCCGTACAGGGACCCATGAGAGACTCTGGACCTGGCAGCAGCATGAGGAGGCGGTACTGGGGCCCATGGCAGATTACGGGCCTGGCAGCAGCAATGGGAGGCCCGTAATCTGCCAGCACCCTATGACAAAAAATGGAACACACCAGCAGTGTGAGGAGACCTGAAAGTGGCACATGGCAGAGTGTGGCGATGGAGACAGCAGCAATGGGAGGCCGTACAGGGACCCATGAGAGACTCTGGACCTGGCAGCAGCATGAGGAGGCGGTACAGGGGCCCATGGCAGATTACGGGCCTGGCAGCAGCAATGGGAGGCCCGTAATCTGCCAGCACCCTATGACAAAAAATGGAACACACCAGCAGTGTGAGGAGACCTGAAAGTGGCACATGGCAGAGTGTGGCGATGGAGACAGCAGCAATGGGAGGCCGTACAGGGACCCATGAGACACTCTGGACCTGGCAGCAGCATGAGGAGGCGGTACAGGGGCCCATGGCAGATTACGGGCCTGGCAGCAGCAATGGGAGGCCCGTAATCTGCCAGCACCCTATGACAAAAAATGGAACACACCAGCAGTGTGAGGAGACCTGAAAGTGGCACATGGCAGAGTGTGGCGATGGAGACAGCAGCAATGGGAGGCCGTACAGGGACCCATGAGACACTCTGGACCTGGCAGCAGCATGAGAGGGCGGTACAGGGGCCCATGGCAGATTACGGGCCTGGCAGCAGCAATGGGAGGCCCGTAATCTGCCAGCACCCTATGACAAAAAATGAACACACCAGCAGTGTGAGGAGACCTGAAAGTGGCACATGGCAGAGTGTGGCGATGGAGACAGCAGCAATGGGAGGCCGTACAGGGACCCATGAGACACTCTGGACCTGGCAGCAGCATGAGGAGGCGGTACAGGGGCCCATGGCAGAGATACGGGCCTGGCAGCAGCAATGGGAGGCCCGTAATCTGCCAGCACCCTATGACAAAAAATGGAACACACCAGCAGTGTGAGGAGACCTGAAAGTGGCACATGGCAGAGTGTGGCGATGGAGACAGCAGCAATGGGAGGCCGTACAGGGACCCATGAGAGACTCTGGACCTGGCAGCAGCATGAGGAGGCGGTACAGGGGCCCATGGCAGATTACGGGCCTGGCAGCAGCAATGGGAGGCCCGTAATCTGCCAGCACCCTATGACAAAAAAATGGAACACACCAGCAGTGTGAGGAGACCTGAAAGTGGCACACATGGCAGAGTGTGGCGATGGAGACAGCAGCAATGGGAGGCCGTACAGGGACCCATGAGACACTCTGGACCTGGCAGCAGCATGAGGAGGCGGTACAGGGGCCCATGGCAGATTACGGGCCTGGCAGCAGCAATGGGAGGCCCGTAATCTGCCAGCACCCTATGACAAAAAATGGAACACACCAGCGTGTGAGGAGACCTGAAAGTGGCACATGGCAGAGTGTGGCGATGGAGACAGCAGCAATGGGAGGCCGTACAGGGACCCATGAGACACTCTGGACCTGGCAGCAGCATGAGGAGGCGGTACAGGGGCCCATGGCAGATTACGGGCCTGGCAGCAGCAATGGGAGGCCCGTAATCTGCCAGCACCCTATGACAAAAAATGGAACACACCAGCAGTGTGAGGAGACCTGAAAGTGGCACATGGCAGAGTGTGGCGATGGAGACAGCAGCAATGGGAGGCCGTACAGGGACCCATGAGACACTCTGGACCTGGCAGCAGCATGAGGAGGCGGTACAGGGGCCCATGGCAGATTACGGGCCTGGCAGCAGCAATGGGAGGCCCGTAATCTGCCAGCACCCTATGACAAAAAAATGGAACACACCAGCAGTGTGAGGAGACCTGAAAGTGGCACATGGCAGAGTGTGGCGATGGAGACAGCAGCAATGGGAGGCCGTACAGGGACCCATGAGAGACTCTGGACCTGGCAGCAGCATGAGGAGGCGGTACTGGGGCCCATGGCAGATTACGGGCCTGGCAGCAGCAATGGGAGGCCCGTAATCTGCCAGCACCCTATGACAAAAAATGGAACACACCAGCAGTGTGAGGAGACCTGAAAGTGGCACATGGCAGAGTGTGGCGATGGAGACAGCAGCAATGGGAGGCCGTACAGGGACCCATGAGAGACTCTGGACCTGGCAGCAGCATGAGGAGGCGGTACAGGGGCCCATGGCAGATTACGGGCCTGGCAGCAGCAATGGGAGGCCCGTAATCTGCCAGCACCCTATGACAAAAAAATGGAACACACCAGCAGTGTGAGGAGACCTGAAAGTGGCACATGGCAGAGTGTGGCGATGGAGACAGCAGCAATGGGAGGCCGTACAGGGACCCATGAGAGACTCTGGACCTGGCAGCAGCATGAGGAGGCGGTACAGGGGCCCATGGCAGATTACGGGCCTGGCAGCAGCAATGGGAGGCCCGTAATCTGCCAGCACCCTATGACAAAAAATGGAACACACCAGCAGTGTGAGGAGACCTGAAAGTGGCACATGGCAGAGTGTGGCGATGGAGACAGCAGCAATGGGAGGCCGTACAGGGACCCATGAGACACTCTGGACCTGGCAGCAGCATGAGGAGGCGGTACAGGGGCCCATGGCAGATTACGGGCCTGGCAGCAGCAATGGGAGGCCCGTAATCTGCCAGCACCCTATGACAAAAAATGGAACACACCAGCAGTGTGAGGAGACCTGAAAGTGGCACATGGCAGAGTGTGGCGATGGAGACAGCAGCAATGGGAGGCCGTACAGGGACCCATGAGACACTCTGGACCTGGCAGCAGCAGCATGAGGAGGCGGTACAGGGGCCCATGGCAGATTACGGGCCTGGCAGCAGCAATGGGAGGCCCGTAATCTGCCAGCACCCTATGACAAAAAATGGAAAAAAATGGAACCACACAGTGTGAGGAGACCTGAAAGTGGCACATGGCAGAGTGTGGCGATGGAGACAGCAGCAATGGGAGGCCGTACAGGGACCCATGAGACACTCTGGACCTGGCAGCAGCATGAGGAGGCGGTACAGGGGCCCATGGCAGATTACGGGCCTGGCAGCAGCAATGGGAGGCCCGTAATCTGCCAGCACCCTATGACAAAAAATGGAACACACCAGCAGTGTGAGGAGACCTGAAAGTGGCACATGGCATGTTTGGGGCATGATTCATGGCGGATTTAGTCAGTTGTGTCAGGAACTGGTGGTTTGAAATCCAGACTAATCCACGCCTGATTCATTTTCACAAAACGTGAGTCTCTCCACACTTTGGGTGGACAGTCGTGTCCTCCGCGGAGTTACAATACCTCCTGCCGCACTAAACACACGCTCCGATGCCACGCTACTGGCCGGGCATGACAGCCTTTCAAGGGCAAATTCAGAGTTGGGGCCAAAGGTCAAGTTTCGTTGCCCAGTAGTCAAGGGGATTGTCTACCTCGGTTGGCAGGGTGCTGTCCAAGTAGGCCCAAGCCTGTTGTTTGAGGTCCTGCTCCAGGTCCACCTGATGCTGCTGCTGCTGCTGCGGCTGGTTAGTAGTTTCCTCACTGCGCTGGTGAAGAAAGCTACTCATCATCGACTGCAGACTGAGGCAGCCGCTGCTGGTGGAGCTGCCACTGCTCCTACCACCCCACCCCTCCCCTGCTGCCATGGCAGCGGAACGCGAGCGCACAGGGCCCACAGTGTCTGAGGATGGACGTTGGCGCAGAAAGGCAGAGACCAACTGACTACACATAGGTGGTTTTTATAGTACGTTATTTTGGCCTCCCTCTCAGCAGGTGTGAAAAAGGCCACCATTTTTGAACGGTAGCGAGGGTCCAACAAGGTGGACAGCCAAAAGTCATCCCTCTGTCTGATGGTTATTATTCGGCTGTCGCTACGCAAGCAACCGAGCATGCTATGGGCCATTTGTGCCAAGGAATGCGAGGGACTCCCTGCCTCCATCTCCACAGCATACTGCCACGGTGCGTCTGGGTCCTCTGTCTCCTCCCTCCTCCTCTACCAGATGCTCCTGCTCCTCCTCCACTCCTGTCCGCTGAGTGGAAAAACCACCCATTTCACTCAATAATTCCTGAGCACAAATGTCCTCCTCTACCTCCTCCTCTTCTTCCTGTCCTGCCCCCACAGGGGTCATGTGGCGTTGAGATCTGTGCGCCACGTCTACCGCACCCTGACCAGCCATTGTTAACAGCATTTGTTCCAGGACGTGCAACAGAGGAATGACGTCGTTCATCCCATAGTCCTGCCGACTCACGAATAGCGTGGCCTCCTCAAAGGGCCTGAGCAAGCGGCAGGTGTCACGCATGAGCTGCCAATGGCTGACATCGAAGTTACACAGGGGAGTACCTTTATCCGCTTGTAACATCAGGAAATCGGTGATGGCCTTTCGCTGTTCGTAAAGGCGGTCTAACATGTGTAGGGTTGAATTCCACCTTGTTGCAACGTCGCAGATCAGGCGATGCTGTGGAATTCCGTTCTGCCGCTGCAGCTCAAGGAGGGTGTGCTTTGCGGTGTAGGAATGGCTGAAATGCATGCAAAGTTTACGTGACATTTTAAGGATGTCTTGCAGTGGGATGGTGGATTTTAGGAACCGCTTGACAACCAGATTGAACACGTGAGCCATGCATGGCGCATGGCACAACCTCCTTGACGCAGAGCAGACACCATGTTCTTTCCGTTGTCGGTCAACATGGTTCCGATTTTCAGTTTGCGCGGAGACAGCCATCTGTCGATTTCTCTGTTCATTACACTCAGAAGTTCCCCCCTGTGTGACTACGTTCGCCAAGGCATACCAGGTGCAGCACAGCGTGACACCGTTGCGCCCTGCACATGTGATAGCCGGTCGGGTAATGGGACTTGGCACGGGGGTGGCGGCTGAGGACACGGCGGAAGAAGAGGTGGTAGAGGCGGACATCTTTGCCGGACCAAGGACGTGCAAACGTGGAGGCAAAAGCGGCGTGACCTGTCCAAGTTGCTGGTGCGGCTGTGCCGGCACCACGTTCACCCAGTGGGCCGTAAATGACATGTACTGTCCCTGACCGTAGTTACAGCTCCACACGTCGGCGCTGCCGTGCACTTTGGCAGAGACCGACATGCTCAAAGACTGGCCCACCATCTCTTCTACATGTGAATGCAGGGCTGGCACTGCCTTTTTTGGCGAAGAAATGACGGCTTGGCACTCTCCACCGCGGCGCGGCACAAGCCATCATTTTCTCGGAAAGGTGCTGAGTCCACCACTTGGAAAGGGAGGGACTGCAGCACCAGCAACTTGGACAGGAGGACGTTCAGC